ATGAATTCCTTTCGAACTCTTAAAAGTCTTATTTTTAGACCAGAATGGTACGGAAGAATTTATTTCATAATTTGGGAATTAAAAAAAAATTCTTTTTCCCATTCTCTTTGCTATCTGGGTATCTCTTAAAAAATTAGTGAAGTTTAATTGACTAATGTTTAGAAATTGATGATTTTATTAAAAGTTAATTTCAGTAATTAAAGTTGCAAACTAATTTATTTTTTGAAATCATAATTAAAATTCAGAAAGGTCTTGTTTAGAAAAAAAGTCAATCAAAATGTAGCCAATTATATAAGAAAATAAATTAAAAATAGACTCAAATAAAGATTCGCATACATTGATATGTGATCAATTATATATAACATTGCATATTCTTTTCCTTAAGCTGAGATATAATGCAAATGTAATGCAAATGTAATGCAAATTAGATAATACGGTACAGAATCTGTTATTATATTTAAAAAATGATAAGTGAGCAAATATTTTTCAGAATTAAAAAAAAATTGTATTCCTAAAGTTTCACATTTTTCAAATCGTACTATAAATGAAAGTTTTAATCGATCTCTTTAGAGTTACACTTCTCTCATCCATCACTACACTTCTCCTCTCACTTAACCCTTTGGACCAACGGCTTAACGTCTCTTTCCGAAAGACGGAGCCCAGTTTGCTCCGCACAAGAGTCTTTCTCGCATGGAGGGTACAGTTTTCGGAAATAAATTCCATGTTTACGTGCTCAAGTGGACTCGAACCTGGTTTCTCAGATTACGAGCTGGCGCTCTACCACTAGACCACACTGTCGCCTCAAATCGTACTATAAATTGTTAAATTTAAGTTAATATTAAATTTTATCAATTAAGTGCAACAATGAAGAGAAGCTTTAAAAATTTATCACAAATTGCAAAGAAACTATTTTTTCTTTCAATTATTTTCTAAAAAAACAACGTATTCAAAAATATTCACCATAAATTTATTTTCAACAAATTACAATGTTCTTCATAATATATATTATTTAAACATTATATAAGTGCCACTTATAAACACTATGCCACGACGTAATTAGTGTGCAGATAATCTCCTGGTAAAGTAGAGAATAAAAACATATTTCTTTCTCTCTCTTTCTCTTTCTTTTCTCTCTGTCTCATTAACATTTAAAGATAAGACAGTTATGTGATTCATTAAATTTCTGTACGTTTTTTGTCAAATATTTTTTCGTATTGAGATTAAGAATCTATTACGTTTGAAACAGCTTTATAAATTGCTTTTGTATAAATTACGCACAATCAGAAAATATATCAGACACAATTAGGACTAGACGATTTGATATTCAAAATAGATACTCGTGTAATTGCACGGAAGAAAGACATGTTGCAGGAAAATTTGTAACGTATTATTTTTTTAATCTTTCATTGAATGGCCTTTTTACTTACCTTCGTTCATTACGTGAATAAAGAATCGTTATATAATATAGCTCAATTTGTCAATAAAAATTCTATCTACGTATAATTTAATTGAAATTCTATATTTGATTTATATGATATCTAGAATCCATATGAGCATCATAACACGGCGTGCCATGTGTCATCTAAGCACATCCAATCTCCAATTTTAATTCATAAATTTTTTACTCGTCGTTTATGATAATTTGAACAAATGCTACGTTAATTTACAGATGGTACATCAAATGATAAAATTATTCTCTTCAATCCTACAAGAAAAAAGAAAAGAGAGTACTCTAATAATCAAAGTAGCATTGTACTATATTGTCATTGTGAAAAGGCTACTCATGAAAAGATATATGCAATATTTGCGCCATATTTAGGCCTTCATATTTGTAAATATTCATAGAACACTGTAAAAGATAATCACAACGTAGATATCTTTGCGTATAATTTCTACTCTTTTGTGCAAGTGTGATCATTCTGAATGGTTATCCTAAAGTCATAGCAATAGTCATGGCGAGATTTGCTTAAATATCACGAGGGTCGTGCGGATCTGGAAGTTTCTGCCAGTTCGGTTCAACGCCCCAAATCTCACGTGCGTACTCTGCGATTGTACGATCTGATGAGAATTTCCCCGACGATGCTATGTTATAAATAGTCATTTCTACCCACTTGCTCTCGTCCTGAAACAATTAGCAAATGATTACGTACTAGGGCGATTTTACAGAATAAAATTTTGATATAAAAAAACCTGAAAAAATTTGTAACGTATTATGTGGACACTACTTCCAATTGTCTTCTAAAGATACAACGATTATTTTTAACATTAAATGGCTCCACATAGGTTTCCAACTTTCCACGCGAGCTGTACAATGATAGATCTAGTTTCGCACTACAAGCACCGGACGATATGGAGCGATTCTTGCTTTGCGTGGAAAGTTGGAAACTCATGTGGAACCATTATGTAATGAATGTAATAAATTGTATACAAAGTAAAACTAGAATCATCTCAACAATATATGTCAAGATGGAGGCCATTGGAGCTGATTCTAATTGGAAGTGGCGCCTGTATAAATAAGTACCCTTGTAACCTTTTGAAGATTACTCAGGATCGTGATTTGACAATAATGTCATTCAAGCTTACTTTGTATATCGACATATTTAATAGATCCAGATAATTTATAACATCTATTATATATACAACTTTATATTTAAAGTAATTTCATATGTTATGAAATTGTTAATGTGTTCCTCTCTTTTACTTCATTCCCAATTGAAAATAGGTTTTCTTTAAATAAGCTATACATATATCTTTTTATAGATTTTGAATGTAAGTTATGTTCACTTGAAAAACATTGCAACAGTTTTCAAAATCTTCAATTTTCTACATCACTAAATTAAAAAATGATAATGTAAGGAATCACGATTGCATAACAAAGATATGAAAAAATTATTCCTCCTCGCATTGTAGAAAGAGATGCAAAATATAGAAAAAAATTTTATATTAAAAAAATATTTTTTTAATTTTTTAGCATTTATAATTAAAATGTATATCCTATTATTTTCCATAAAAAAACGTCATTGTTCGAATAAAGTTTTTCCACAACCTTTTCAAATAATTTGCTATCTTTTTGTTTCTGTATAAAATAATGTAAATCTTTTTTTGTTAGTTTTTTATAAATAAAAGTTTATGCGAAAGTTAATTGGTTGAGTACCTGATAGACTTTGCTGACATAATCCTGCATATTTATATAGCTCTCGTAATCGGCCAAGAGTAGGAACCTATCCCACTTAAGCAATACGTCAGCGATATCTCGGAATTCATCGGGATTGTTTGGGCTGAAGAATCCTCCTTGGATTTGATCGATACATTGTTTGGCTTCCGGCAGCTTAGTATAGTAATCATACGCATTATAGCCTTTACTTTTCAGAGCTTCCACTTCTTCCACTCTCATGCCGAAAATGAAGATGTTGTCATTACCCATCTCCTCCGCCATTTCTACATTTGCCCCGTCCAAGGTGCCAATGGTCAACGCACCGTTCAACTATAAGAATAATACAAAGTTTCATTGTCTGGATAAACCCAATTTTACGACAAAAATAATTGTAACTGCAATCAAATTTCATGTGAAATACAAATTAAACGAGATGACAGGAAATAATTAAAATTATTTATGATTTTACACACACATTTGTCAAATATGTTTGAGATTACTTATTGAAATTATTTTGCCAGGCATGTAGGCAAGTACGCAGTCTCAATTTTATTTCGTTACCAAATATATTACTGACCATAAATTTCATGTTACCAGTGCCAGACGCCTCGGTGCCAGCAGTCGAAATTTGCTCGCTCAAATCTGCGGCCGGTATGATCTTTTCAGCCAAAGTTACACGATAATTTTCAAGGAAGATCAACTTGAGCTTATCCCCAATGATCGGATCATTATTGACCACATTAGCGACGCTGCAGATGAGCTTGATAATCTTCTTCGCCAAGTGATAGCCTGGTGCCGCTTTACCGCCTATCATCACAGTTCTCGGAACAAAATGAGCAGACGGATTTCTTTTTATTCGATTGTATAAAGTGATAACGTGTAAGCAATTCAACAATTGTCGTTTGTACTCATGTATGCGCTTCACCTGTCAACAAAACGTAACAATTTAATGCTGTATCATTTAATCTCGAACCTTGAACCTTTTTTCGTGCAATTTATGAATATATCACAGCATATTTTCCATAGCCGTAATGTGCAATTACGTATTATATAAGGCAGTTGAAAAAAATCATCCGGTATCTTTTTGACTTTATTACGGTCTTCTGACTGATTTCTTAGCAGAAATTTCAAGATTTATAGCATTTACAAAATTTTTAACATTTTATATAGATATGCGTAATAAAAATCTCATAAATTCTATTAAAGTCCAATTGAAATTATATAACTAAAAATTATAACTTTATCTTCTATCTTAAGGAAGAATTCTCTATAATTAAGAAAGAATTTTCTACAATTAAGAGAGAATTCTCTTTTAAAACTTAATTTGTCAAACATTTCTCATTTTCAATTATTAATTACTTAAAAATAATATTTTTATATTTTTATCAAAGGATCAATCGATTTTTATTAAGGGGGTCGTCTGGTCAAGAGGCTGTTTTTTTGGGGGAATTTTTTGTAAGGAATCATAAGAATACACTTTGTTGAAACTTTTACATCATATTTATTGATATTTGAAGAGTATTTAGAAATTTTTCCAAGTTAATATATGGCCAAGAATCCGCTGTAGAGCGCCCCGACGACAGCTGTGTAAAAAAAAACGGTACCCACGATTCCGGATCTCCAGTTCATCCAAAAAAAAAAAAAAAATCCTTTTAATCTATGGATGTGTGTCTATCGTGTGAACTATTTTTATCTCTCTCTATACTATCTCAATTTTTGCCAACGTTTTGAAGAAAAGTTTCATAATAACGTTTTTTTATACGAGGATTTTTTTTTTTTAGGATGAACTGGAGATCCGGAATCGTGGGTACCGTTTTTTTTTTACACAGCTGTCGTCGGGGCGTTCTACAGCGGATTCTTGGCCATATATCAACTTGGAAAAATTTCTAAATACTCTTCAAATATCAATAAATATGATGTAAAAGTTTCAAAAAAGTGTATTTTTATGATTCCTTACAAAAAATTCCCCCCCAAAAACAGCTCTTGACCAGACAACTCCCTTAAAGGAGAAATCGGTCAAAGAATTTAATAAATGAAAAGGGGATTCCCCGAAACATTATGAGCTCTTTTCGTTGCCTGCATTCTGACCTGGATATCAAAGATAGATGCTGAATTAACCCGAACACCATATTCCTTCTCTAATATTTGGGCTAATCGCAATTTGTTTTCCTGTTTGACTTTAACAACATTACGCTGGAACACTGGATCCTTCGCCCATTTCTTCAATTGCTCTAACTGCTCCAGATGAACTGTCCATTCACTACCAATTTTCTATAAATTATAGAAAAAACCACACAAAATATACATTATATACAACAAAAATCGTGGTTATTGAAATAATACTCCATATTGAGTACTTACTTCCTCGATTATATCAGATAGATTTGGATTACATAGCAGCAGCCATCTTCTTGGTGTAATACCATTAGTCTTGTTTTGAAATTTTTCTGGCGTCAGTTCGTAAAAGTCTCGGAAGCTAACGAAAGGTAAATGAAATTAAATATTCCATCAATTTTTTCCAAGCATTGTTAGCTCTTACAAAGAGAACTCTACATACACACTGTCTTTGATAATTTCTGAATGGATGCGAGCAACTCCGTTTACGGCATGACTACCGACGATTGACAGATGAGCCATGTTGACCCTCTTCTCACCTTCCTCTTCTATTAAAGACATTCGACGAATTCGATCCACATTGCCGGGCCATTTGGCCGCGACGTTTTGAAGATGCAGGTGATTGATTTCATAAATAATCTGCAAATGTCTCGGAAGAATGCTCTCCAGCATACTGGTGGGCCATCTCTCTAACGCTTCAGGAAGAACCGTGTGGTTTGTATAGCCGCAAGTACGTATCGTAATGTCCCAAGCCTAAAAGTTGAGATATTTGTTTCGAGTGTTTATGCGTGTAATAAAGACATTCTGTCAACGATGTCATTCATTCTGTCAATGACGTCAAAGGAGGGTGTACTTATTGAATTTATAATTAGATAAAAGTCGGAAATCCAAAAAATTCTGTCATCTATAGTAATGGATTCAAAACATACCAAATTACATCGGATGCTCGACGATAATCTCAAATCGTTGTAAATATTCAAAACAAAAAATAATTATAATCTTTGAAAGCATTTAATATTTCAAATAAAATAATCCGTTAACTAAGAGAACTGAAGAAAAAAATAAGTAAATTCTAAAATATATATAATAAATTTATATAATCACGTATAATTATATATAATTTTATCTGTCAAAGATATAGAAATAATGTACATAATGCGCATACTGAAAAAAGCGAAATTTCAGTTTTATCGTTTAAACTTATCTATGTAGATTATATATGATTATATATAATCACATATAAACTTTAAATTCGGATTATCCAATAGATGGCATTCGATAGGATTCGTTTCTCGTATTTAAAATTAGACGAACAATGATATAAAAACGGTATCAAGAGACACACGGCACTGTCTCACGTCAAGCAGTGCCAAGTTATAATATATATATATAGAATAAATCTTTCACTTTTTATTTATTCATTATATATTATAATATAAAATTATATATAATTATATATATATAATATATATATATAATATATATATATATAATTTTTATATATAATTTTATATAATACATAATCCTTTGAAAGTAAACCTTAATATAAAGTTATATATAATTATATAAAATTATATCATGCCAATTTTGAGATATAATTATATATAGTTATATATGATTATATACAATTTTTTTTCCCGGGAATATTTTAAACCAAAAGTTGTTTGATTTCGAGAAACGCTAATAATGATTTTAATTTGATTTTGACTCAATGTTATATCAAAGTTACTTTCATTTTTCTTAAATAGAATAGAATAAAATATAAATTAATTTTACATATAAATTTTTTTTACATAAATCAGTGCCTCTTGATATTCTGCACATAAAAGTATAATAAAACTAATAAACTTAAAAAAATTACTAGTTTATGAAATAATTCATATTCTAAGATACCTTGATATAAAATATAAAACACATTATTTTTATCTATCTATCCATCCTGTGTAAAAATATTTTTTTCTCATCACTTTTTCTTGCAAGAAATTTCACAGAAATGTTTTTCTTCAATTTTGATGGAGCTTTTAATATGTTGTATTCTGAATATTGTGAATCAAAATAAGGAACGTATTTTTTTATACGTGCCCAATCACGTTTAGAGAATAAAACACCCCTTTAAAAAAAATTATTTTGTTTTATTATCGGAATGAATATCGCTCAAAACTATAAAAAATAGAAAAAATGTATTTAAAATAAAAGTTAAGTAGTTTTAAAAGTACTTTAAAATAATTAAAAAAAATTTTATATTTAAAAAATTTTTTTTAAATAACGCCACCACTTAACATTTTGGCAAAAGTTTACAATAACTTACACAGCTCGGATTACTTTGACCTTGACATATGTTGTCAAGGACATGATTCTGAGTAACTTTTCCTTATAACTTAATCGGCGGTCGCTGCTTATTAAAAAGTTATAAACAAAAAAAGTTTGAAAAATATAGCAGTTATTTTGAATATTGGATGGCATAAATGACTAATATATTGTCGAAATAGTTCACGCATATACTTTTCACGCGAACCTAGGTTCACCCACACCCTCCCTGCTTTCGGGGGAGGTGCGGTAGCCCCTCCCTCGCTTACGTGTACTGTTTGGTAAATATTGGCTATGGTAAACAAGCTTGTAAAGTGCGCCACTAATCTACATATCTATACACGTAAGCGAGGGAGGGGCTACCGCATCTCCCCCGAAAGCAGGGGGGGGTGGGTAAACCTCGGTTCGCCTGAAAAGTGTATGCGTGAACTATTTCGGGGCTACCGCACCTTCCTCGAAAGGAGAGGGAGGGTGTGGGTAAACCTCGGTTCGCGTAAAAAGTGTATGCGTGAACTATTTCGCGGCTACCGCACCTCCCCCGAAAGCAGGGAGGGGGGAGTGTAGGTGAACGTCGGTTCGCGTGAAAAGTATATGCGTGAACTATTTCGACATATATATTAGTCATTTATGCCTTCCAATACTCAAAATAGCTGCTATATTTTTCAAACTTTTTTTGTTTATAACTTTTTAACGAATAACGACCGCCGGCTAAAAACTTCTGAAGGTCACTCAGGAGGGTGACCTTGACAACATATGTCAAGGTCAAAGTAATCCGAGCTGTGTAAGTTATTGTAAACTTTTACCTAATAAAATTATGCTTAAAAAAATTTGTTTTCTTAATTTAACAATGTTTTCTTGAAATATCTTTTTTCTGTGCATAGACAACTTCTATATAATAAACATACCTCCTCCCAAGAAAGTTTTTCAACATCAATGAGAATTCTCATCAGTTCGGGAATAGCTAGCGAGGGATGCGTATCATTGAGTTGAATAGCTACTTTATCAGGGAAAGCTGTGAAATCTGTTCTATGATGCTCCCTTGAGCCGAATTTGCTAGACTTGTATCTTCGGATGATGTCTTGCAGAGTGGCAGCTACCATAAAGTATTCCTGCTTCAACCTAAGTTCTTTGCCCTCGAAGAAATTATCGTTAGGATAAAGAACTCTGGAGATATTTTCCGCCAAAGTACGATCAATCACAGCCTGTATATAGTCACCGTCGTTAACTGAAAAAGTCAACGATATATGGAAAAACTGCTGTCATATGCGGAAACTTATCGGTTTGATACTTACAGAACTTCAAATTAAATTCTGTGGGCGACTTTGCGGACCACAGTCTTAATGTATTGACAACATTGTTTTTGTAGCCAGGGATTGGACTGTCATAGGGCATAGCAAAAATGACCTGTAACAACCAATATTACTATTATTTACGGATCATTTATACGAAGTGTTTTAAAATCATTGAACATTCTTTTAATCGTAGCTTTTCTACATTTAGAGATAATTTTTTCTCGACCAAAACATCATGAAAGCTCATTATTTTCTTTCTAACTTAATTCGCTTTTGTATACCAACTTTTAATTAAAATTCTGTTGAAACGAGAATAATTTGACATTGGTGCACATAATTCCGTCATACATTTTTTCTTGCAAGATTTCTAACTTAAATTTTCTATTAAAATTGTTCGAAAATTGCCTCCGCATTTTCTTTAAAAAAGAGGGACAGTCCAAATTGGTTGTGATATATAGTGAAAGCGACATTCAGCAATATACATTCTGAGTGCAAAGTATCATACATTAAAATAATCTATTACCTGCGTATTCACCCATTTCTTGCCCTCAGGGGTATCAATCACGTGACCGTAAAAGTTCACCGGCAGCATAAATTCTGGCCGAGCTTTCTCCCAGGGATTGCCATATCTAAGCCAATCGTCAGGCTCCTCTATTTGCTCGCCATTCTTTATCTTTTGTGCGAATATACCGTATTCGTAACGTATACCATATCCGTAAGCGGCTAAACCTAACGTGGCCATGCTGTCCAAAAAGCAGGCTGCTAGACGACCTAGTCCTCCGTTACCGAGTCCAGCATCTTCCTCGAGTTCTTCCAATTCTTCTATATCCAAACCCATCTACGAGAAATGGGTACATTTACACAATAAATTCGCATATAAGATGATTAAGAGTCGACTGTTTTCTAAGCAAAGCTAAAAAAAAATGGTAAAAAATTATAATATATAAAAAGATAACTTTTTCAAACGCAAAAAATGATGTCCCTGCATTTTAATAAAATGCTAAGAACTCGAACTATATCAATATTAGAATAAAATATCCAAAAAAGTTACAAAAATTGATGTGTACTATAATTTTATATTTGACATCGAGATAGGATACTTTCAAGTATTGTTTAAAGTTTCTTTTAGAAAAATGTTAAAAATGATTAAAATTATATTATAAAAGTTTTTCATTATATTCGACATATTTTTCTGTAATAAATTTATTTTATTAAGTAAAATTCACTTGCCTGGTACATAGCTTCGTCACATGCCCCTTGTATCCCTAAATTAATCATCGTATTTTGCAATGATCTTCCCATATAAAATTCCAAAGATAAATAATACACTCTCTGAAAAAAAGCAAAATTTGTAATAAAATAGAAATGTTCTATTTGACTTTGATAATGTTATGTTGTGCCAATGTGACGTCATAAATTCAAACAGGCGATTAATTAAAAAATACGACAGCAGAACTATTTAGACTTAAATCTCTTCAGTATACTCTTCAAGGCCGACTAACTGACTGATTATAACTCGTAAATTCCGCCATCGTATCTCTGTCTCTAAAGATCAATTAATTTTATGAAAAAAGCTAAGCTAAGTCGTGTATAAGAAATTAGAAGATTCTCCTATACAAAACTACCACAAAATTTTCGAAAAAAATTGAAACTTAAAATTGAAGATTCTTCGGTTGTTGTAAGAGACTATACATAACTTTCAATTACCTATCTCATAACTTCACAAAATCATTTCAACAATAACTGTCTTCTTCCAAACATGAGTAAAAATATAAAAATATAATATAAAGATATGAGTAAAAATGTAAAAAATATATATAACATAATGTAAAACAAACATTTTATTTAGGAAAATGTTAAAAAATTATTTTAGTAATCTATAATTTTAACTGATTCGACAATTTCAATTATCTGATATTTTTAATGTAAATAATACATCCATTTATTTTTGTAAATAGCACAATTAGATTAAAGCTTTTATTATTGCTAAAAATTCTGAATTTATTCAAAAAGAGTCTACCTTAATTCCTTTTAATGCTTTCTTTATATTAATAAATTGTTTGTAAAATGTTCAGACTTTCCTCTCGACTTTTTTATATAGAATCCATGATAAAAGAAAGATTACGTGTATATTGTTCAATTTGATATATGTATGTAAGGAAGAACTCTATGTGAATTCTGAAGTGGGGAAAGGCTTGAAAATCAAATTACAATACCTGTAGAAAATAAAAGCTCAAATAAATACATTAACCTTCACTATAAATTTTGGTCATTAGTGAGCAAAGTTTTATATCAATTTTAATGTTAACTTCCCCGACAGCACATAAAACTAAAAGATGACGAAAAGATATCTAAAAGATGACGAAAAGATATCTTTTTATAGTTATTTTTTCGGCTAGACAAAACAATGTTTAAAAGACGTCTTTCCGACTACACAAAAAGTCAACCGTTTAACTGAACGAAAAGTCGTCTAAAAGATGTCTTATATACATGACTCTTTTTCTAATCCACATGCGCAAGTTATGGAACAGCCATCTAACCTATAAGGATCGACTTAGGCTTTGGAGTGTTGAAAAATTATAGTAGCGTTCAGCAGAGAAAGCAGCTCACAATCAGTGAGTGTTTAATGATTATTGTTCCTGATTAGTATATATTATACGTTCTTCTGGATCTATATCAAAGGTCTAAAAAAATACTTTAAATCATAAAACGCTTACTCTGATCTGCTTTCTTCCCGGGAAAAAAATTATATATATAACTATAAAATTATGTATAAAAATAGTATTTATATATATATATAAATATGTATTCTTTTATATAATTTAATATAATTATATATAAATATATATATTTATATAATTTATATATTATTAAATATAAACATATATTAAAATATATAATTTCTAAAATATATATTTTTCTATATAACCTTCACAGAAATTTAATACTGTAAGTGATTATTTGGCTAGTAAATAATTACTTATTTCGAGTATTAAAAGTACTGTTTTTAATGATTTTAATACTCAAAATAAGTAATTAATTACTAGCCAAATAATCATTTACAATATTAAATTTCTATAAAAGAATTATATAAAATTATATCTGATTCCTCACGTAAAATTATATATAATTTTATATCTATATCTATAAAGGAAGATGTCCTGACTGACTGACTGATTGACTGACTGACTGACTGACTGACTCATCAACGCCCAGGTCAAACCCCTGAACCTAGAGACTTGAAATTTGGAGGGTGTATTCCTCTCATGACGTAAGCATCCACTAAGAAAGGATTTTTAGAAATTCCACCCCTAAGGGGGTGAAAAGGGGTAAAATGTGTTTTTTTCACGATTGTTCTGACTGACTGACTGACTGACTGACTCATCAACGCCCAGCCCAAACCCCTGAACCGAATTTTTACCAAAAGTATATGAAATAGGGGTAGAATTTTCCGGGGAG